GACAGTCTTACATTAGTGTTGACCATTTTTAACTTGAATTAATTGAAACTCTATTTAAAAAAAATTATTAATGTTAAGAAAATTTAAGACACATTACATTAATTTTGAAAATAAAAAGAATTTATGTAATTTAAAAAGTTTAAAAGATTCATCCAATTTACTCATATTTACCATTTACTCATATTTACCATTAAAATATCATACGTGATTTAAATTAAGATCAACAGTTTAAATTAGCAATAGTGTCCTCCTTTCCTTTTTTATCATTGTCTTCACGTCAATTAATGTTATATGTTATCCGAAGAAAAAAAAGTAAGTTGCTTAATATTCCAAAGTACAAATGAAAGGGTTAAATTAAGAAAAACTCACAATATATTTATATTAAAAAAATTTTGGACCATAAATAGAAAGCGACACATGACAGTCTGCTTTCCTAAATACTTGTGAAATTTTCCCTGAAAGGAAATGAGAAAAAAAAAAAAAAGAAAAATCACCCTAAAACCTGATATAAATAAATATATATACATATATATAAAGTTAGTGTTAGATGCATGAAAAATACTTTCTTGCATCCAAAAAATTTTTTTTTAAATGAGAAATATATTTGTGAAAAAAAAAAAGAGAAATGGATGAATTTCTTATTTTGTTTATAGTAAAAAATTTTCCACCTCTCAAGTATTATCAATGACCTTGTAATTTAGTGACATGCAAGCTCTCATGTGAGTGAAATATTGTAGGTTTTATCCTATTTATAACCTTAGATCTAGAGCTATCAATTAAAGATGAATTCATTGAGTCGACTCTTTTAAACTCTAAAATAAAAAAGCTGGCCCTTTTAAGACTATTATATATATATATATATATATTATTTTAATATGAAAAAAAGTAAATACCACTAAAAGTTTAAAACCTAATTTCATTTCTTTCGACTTTTAAGTGAGTTCTCATTCTTTTTCTCTTTAATTGATGCTCTAGACTTTAACCTAAGAAGAAGAATCAAATTATATTAATGTTCATGATAATGATGCTAGTAAAGTTTAATTATTATCGATGCTAATTTTATGATATTGCTATTTTTATTAAACTTAAATTTATTATTATGTGGATTGTTTTAAATTTATTTTTTTAGACTTAATGTTATATGTGATAACTTTTTTGTGATTTTAAATAAATTTTTAAATTAAAAAATTGAAAAAAATAGGGTCAAAATTTTGAGGGTCAAGTCTTTCGGCCTTGACGATCAGGTCGAGCTGGCCAAAATAGAATCCTAAGGTGTAATCTGGCTTAACAAAATAACTTGTTTAAGCTCTGATCCTTTTAAAAATTAGTTTTTTAAGTTGAGCTAGCTCTAATTAATAGCTCTACTCACACCATTAATCCTTGACCCATTAATTCAAAAAAGAATTGTTTTAAAGTTCTAGTCCTGCCCAAAACAACGCTATTGGTTAATCAAATTATTTGATAAATGATTTTTTTTTTTTAGTAAAAGGATTCATAAAAGCTTAAGCACGAGATATTTTGGGGAGAGTAATTCAATTGGACTGCATCATATTTAAATCAACCTAATCATATAATCTTATAAAAATGAAGTTATTTATTTGACAATATAGGCGTAATAATGAACGATTTCAATAAACAAATAACATGATATTTCATTCTAATTTTATATTTTTATAAGATTTTTTGTATTTAAAAATTTTTGTTGACACTCTAGATTGACTTTTTATAGAAAAACAACGGAAAGAAAAGAAATCATTTTTGCCGTGATTAAGAAGGCTTGAAAAAAACAGAGCCTCCTCTTCTGTCTGTACTGTATCATACTTAGTCCATCATCACACCTGTTTCCTCACGTGGTACCTGAATCTCTTACTCTTTGCATAGAATTTCCTAATTTCTACTGGCTTCTCTCTGTTTCCTTCTTCTTCTAGGCTATGAGAAGCTCACATATAGTCCACACCACAGTCCCCACACAGATATAGAGAGAGAGGGGGTGAGGGTGAGGGATGAAAGGAGAGGCGAAGATGAATTCGAAGATGAAATGGATTGGTTTGGTTGGGCTTGTGCTTTCTGCTTTCTCCATCTTCGTCCACTTTCTGCTTGCTCGATTTACTGAGGACGGCATTGCAGATTATCAGTCCTCAATTACAGTTTTCTCTTGGAGACCCATCTTTGAGAATCCAGATTTCTCCTCGCAGGTAATGAATGCGAGGGTGCTTCACACTGAGATCTCAATTTTTCTTCGTTGACTTCGTTGACGAAGTGTTCTGTTATTCTACAGGCAACAAATTGCTATTCTTAAAAAATGACATGGTGGTTTAGTTGCTTTCAATGTCATTTTCCGAGCATAGGGATTTTTTGGCCTGAGCCTGTATTTATCTTATCTATGTCTGGGTCTTAGAAATATTCAGTGAACAGTGAGAGACCATTTTGTTTTGCTCTTTTTGTTCAACGAGAGAAGCGCGGCTTAATTTTTGTTATTTGGTCTAGATCTGCTTTGTGCGGTTCTTCAATTATTCTGTAATTTTGGATATTATTGAGTCCTCTGCAATCGGAGTTGGCTATACTTGCGTGCATTTTCTGTAGTTCTTCACTATTTGGTTGGTTGTCTAATTCTAATGCTTTACTTATAACTCGAGCTGCAGAGTAAGTCATAAGAAGACTATGGGGGTTGTGAAGCGGCTTGAATCTTTGCATCCTGATGCAAATCCCAGAGGATATTTACGCTGGTTGGTTCGATTATTGTCCTTCTTCAAATTCCAGAGGATTTTAATGGTGGTCCA